ATTCCCCAATTCCCACATTCCCCAATTCCCACATTCTCAATTCTCACATTTCCCAATTCCCAAGTTTCCCAATTTCTACATTCCCAAATTTCCAACTTCCCAAACTCCCAAATCCCCAACTTTCTAAACCCCTAATTCCCCCAAACCCCTAAACCTCCATACCTCCAGTCTCCTATAATCCTAAATCCCCAAATGTCTAAACCCTCCACCCTCAAATCCAGAACCCCAAATTCCTCAAATTCCAAATTGTCCATTTCAAACAATAACTCCTCACTAGTAAAATTAATTATTAATCAGTATTCCTCTGGCACACTCCGATTGTTTTGCTTCCCAAACTCCTCTCCCACTAACTAACAGCTCCATCTAATATCCATTTCACATTATCTCCTACACAACGAAATTACATTTCGAATAGAAACAAATTCCGTTACAATGTACAAGTTCCATCCTAGAACGATGACATTTAAGAGCAGAGTTACTCGCTTCAACATCAAGTTCCAATAAGATTGTCTTTTCTAGTTCCGCGAGGGGCGAATTGGTGAAGGAGAATGAGAAATACCTACATTTCCCCCCAAACTTTCTCTTGGGAGCTGCGACAGCGGCATATCAAATAGAAGGAGCCTGGAACGTGAGCGGTAGGTTTCTCAAATTCAAATTTCCAGCCCCGAGATCGACAAACCTCTTTCTAACAGTCTGTACCTTGAAAACGCAGACAAAGGCGAAAGTACTTGGGATCGATTCAGTCATACAAAGGGTAACCATGTTTACCACAACGAAACCGGGGATGTTGCGGCCAACTCTTATTACAAGTACCACGAAGACATCGCCATTCTCAAGCAACTTGGGGTAAATATCCTTTGATACGTACTGTTAGAGAAACTTTTCCATTTGCTTCGATGACTGATGATCTCTTTTATGTAACTCTGATAGTACAGCGAAATCATTTACATGGAGAGTTTTTGTCGAAGTTATCAAGAATTTCTGATTACTGTTGTGGTTAGTGAATGTATATGTACTGATATTTGTTAGAACGTATGTGCTAATACGTAGCTAATGTTAAAGGTGAGCTTGAGCTGACACTTGAGTATTCTGTGCAACTCCTCCACATAGAACAGTATCAATATGACGTTCTGATGTTCAAACTGACCACTCGAAACGTTTATTTATTGTTCTTATTCTTTGGCTCAGTTGTTGTGCTTGTCTATGTGTCCATTTTTCTGACCTGACCAAGCGAGGTCCATAGGTCAGGTAGTAGTGTGGTCGTAGATCAAGGTAGACCCTTAGGTCAGCCTCTTACGTACCAGACTGAAGGTTGTGGAGAGTGTGCATCCAAATATATGCAAAATTCGATAAAAATATACTTGCAAAAGTTAGTCAATGTAAGTAGGACTTGCTGTGGATAATTTGGGATGATTAATATCAAACTTGTAATATGTAATATTATAACAAAACTTGATGACTTGAATAGGTCTGAACCAAATAATCCTGAAAGTCAATTAAAAATTCTGAAATAACAATCCCCACTTTGCTAATAAACTGAACAAATCCTCTGTACAACACAATTATTAAAAATGTGTCTATTAAAAATATCCAACAGTTCAAGGCCTATCGTATGTCCCTGAGCTGGCCCCGAATCCTCCCAACAGGCTTCTCGAACAAGATCAGCAAGGATGGCATCGAATACTACCACAAGGTGATCGACGCCCTGTTGGCGAACGGTATCGAGCCCATGGTCACGCTCTATCACTGGGACCATCCCCAAGTTTTAGAAGACGCAGGTGGTTGGTTAAACTCCGAGATGGTCGAATGGTTCGCCGATTACGCGAGGGTGGTCTTCAACGAATTTGCACCGAAGGTGAAGAAGTTTATCCCCGTAAACGAGCCGCAGGAGATCTGCAGAAATGGCTACTCTTATGGGTATCATGCTCCCGGTAAAAGGTTGCATGGTATCGGCGAATATCTTTGCGTTCACAACGTGCTGAAGGCACATGCCAGAACTTATAGAATCTACGAAAAAGAATTTAAGAAACAATACAGGGGTGAAGTTGGTGTACTGAATAATGTTTTGGGTTATATACCGAAAACGCCTAACGACGAAGTAGCTGCGGAGATCGCATTCCAGTTCAATGGCGGGTGGATATTGAACCCGGTGCTTTCGAAAAAGGGGGACTACCCAGCTGTCATGAAGGAGTTCATTAAACAAAAGAGTCTCGCACAGGGATACAGCAAGTCACGTTTGCCTGAGTTTGATGCCGATTGGATCGAATATATACGGTAATCATTTTATGTTTCAGTGGACTCTTGTTATCTTTGATAGTTGAGAGATGTTGTGTTCTTAATGTAGCTAGGTTTGTGATAGTTCTATCCAGTAACTCATCCAGGTGTAATTCTACGCGCCGAGTACTCTACGCGCCGACTACTCTACGCGCCGATTACTCTGCGCACCGTGGTCTCTACGCGCCGAGTATTCTACGCACCGAGTACTCTACGCGTCGAATATTCTAAGCGCAGAGTACTCCACGCACCGAGTACTCTACGCGTCGATTACTCGGCGCACCGAGGTCCTTACGCGCCGAATACTTTGCGCACCGTATACTCTACGCGTCGAATATTCTACGCGCAGAGTATTCCACGCACCAAGTACTCTACGCGTCGAATATTCTAAGCGCAGAGTACTCCACGCACCGAGTACTCTACGCGTCGATTACTCGGCGCACCGAGGTCCTTACGCGCCGAATACTTTGCGCACCGTATACTCTACGCGTCGAATATTCTACGCGCAGAGTATTCCACGCACCAAGTACTCTACGCGTCGAATATTCTAAGCGCAGAGTACTCCACGCACCGAGTACTCTACGCGTCGATTACTCTGCGCACCGAGGTCTCTACGCGCCAAATACTTTGTGCACTGTATACCCTACGCGTCGAATATTCTACGCGCCGAATACTCTACGCGTCGTATATGCTACGCGCCGAGTACTCTACGCGCCGAGTACTCTACGCGCCGATTACTCTGCGCACCGTGGCGCATCTCTACGCGCCAAATACTCTGCAAGCACAGAATTCTATACGCCGCTTATTAAATGCGTCCCAACCTTAACGTGCCATAAATTTAATGCGAGTCGAAAATACTATATAAGCAAGACTCATGGCAGTTTTCAGTGTTTCTTAATTTTATTTATGAAAGCAGATGACATTTTTCTCTAAATATCTAAATTCGTAACTTCGTGAATCTTTCAATTTTTAAATGACAAAATTTCTGAATTGTAGAGGAACAGCTGATTTCTTGGCTCTGAACCACTACTCCTCAAAACTGGTAGAAAATGGCACCTTCGGAGAAATCCCCTCACAAGACAACGATCAAATGGTTGTTTTCTCCGTAGATGAATCCTGGAATTCTTCAGCCTCAGCCTGGTTGAAAGTGAGTACTTTTCTCTGGTTCCAATTACGTATCATTTTTTTCGCAATAAAAAACTGGATCAACCCTTATATTCGCAGCAAACATTCCACGTATAATGTATTATTAAAGCAATGCCAAATATTGAATTTTTATCTAGTTCCAATTTAACTCGATGTGTAAAGGATAAATTATCTCATACAATATCAATAATGTACGGAATTTGTGTTCTCTTTCCTGTTATTAAATATTTAACGCAATAAATCTGTTACCTTTTGTTACACGAAGCATTAATCATCGAGTTCAATATTTAAACGGGCTTTCCAATTTAACTACGGTTTAGTGATTCATGAAATTCATTAATTTTGATTGTTATTTTGAATACAGGTTATGCCTGAAGGATTCGGACTGAGTCTGCGCAAGTTGCAGGAACATTACGGAAGTATACCTATATACATCACCGAGAATGGTTTCTCTGACCATGGAACGATCGATGACTATGACAGGATCGAATACTATCGCCAGTACTTAAAACAGATGCTCCTCGCCATGTATGTCGACGGAGTTAACGTGCAAGGATACATAACGTGGTCTCTCATGGACAACTTTGAATGGAACAGAGGATACCAGTACGTATTTAATCAATTTATCGATCAATATATTGCGAAATCATTTTTCAAGTTTACACGGTTAATTTTATTACTGATCGAATACCGAATATCGAATATTTCATGCATCGTAAAGCAGCCTACGTTGTTCGATATTCTAAAAATTTACCGAACATGAATTTCGAATTTGTACGCAAAAATAGTTGCTAAACTTCCAACATATTTCACTTCGGTTTTACAACCTCGAATCGCGTGTTTGTACGCTTTTACAAACACGAATGAAGTTCAAAGCATCTTGTTATCTTTCAAAGAAATTATCTGTATGTGCATATCGTTTTAAATAAATAACGCGCGTGGTAAATAGTAAATACACATGTTTTAATTTGCAGCGAACGCTTCGGCATCGTGTCGGTTAACTTCGACGATCCGAACAGGCCGCGAACTTTGAAGAAGTCGGCGCTGTGGTGGCAGAAAGTTATCAGCGAAGGAAAACTCGACGTCACGTTGTAATAACATGAACTACAGGAATTTGTAAATAATCATTTATTTCAAATTTCATACGCATGTACTGATCACTCAATAAAATAGTATTTTCGTCCGTTATTTATTTTGGTTCTAATAAATTTCAATTTGAATCACTGTTGGGTGATAGTTGGGTATTTGGGGATTTGAGGGGTTGGAGATTGGAAAGATTCGGGATTTGAGGATTTAGGGATTTGGAGAGGTAGAGATTTGGGAGTTTAGGAATGGGGAGTGATAGGGATTGGGGATTTGGGGAGGTGTGGATTTGGGCAGATATGGATTTGGGGAGATATGAATTTGGGGAGAAATGGATTTGGGGAGATAGGGATTTGGGGAGGTGTGGATTTGGGGAGATAGGGATTTGGGGAGGTGTGGACTTGGGGAGATATGAATTTGCAGAGATAGGGATTTGGGAGATTTGGAACTTGGGAGATTTGGAACTTGGGAGATTTGGAAACTTGGGAGATATGGAACTTGGGAGATATGGAAACTTGGGAGATTTGGAATTTGGGAGATTTGGAATTTGGGAGATTTGGAATTTGGGAGATTTGGAACTTGTGAGATTTGGAACTTGGGAGATTCGGAACTTGGGAGATATGGAACTTGGGAGATTTGGAAACTTGGGAGATTTGAAATTTGGGAGATTTGGAACTTGGGAGATTGGAAATTTGGGAGATATGGATTTGGGGAAGTGTGGATTTGTGGAGATATGGATTCGGGGAGAAATGGATTTGGGGAGGTGTGAATTTGGGAAGATAATAACTTGTGAAGTTAGTAATTTGAGAAATTAAAACATTGAGAAGCTTGAGACTTGCATTAGATATTTGAGAAGTCAGCTACTTTAAAAGCTTGAAAACTCACCATTCTACATCTACAAAAACTAAAGAATTTTTAAATAGTAGTCTTCATAAACGTAATAACAAATTTTGCTCTTCATAAACATAAGAACAAATCATAGTCTCCATACAAATTACCTCTCATACAATTTCAAAAATTTCTAAATATTCACCAAATTAAGTATACTATCATGCACAGTATCGGACCCCTAGTAATATCTGTCCGCGTTTTAACCCCATCCGTATTGGAAGATCGAATGGTCGGCGGTTGAGATAAGGCGTCAGGTACGAAGGGATAGAGATAAGGGTTCGAGTTGTAAATGCTCGAGTTCTTATCTCGTTTGTGCAGCTTCCTATTCATCTCGGTTGGCAGCAAAAAACGGAAGGGAAAGGAAAATAGAGGATCTCGAATCACCAAGCAGAATATCCTGCAATTATCTGCGAACGCGCGTTACTTGGCAGGGAAGGCGGTCCGAAAACGTCGACGAAACAATCGAATACGGACACGCGTTGGATCAATTGCCTCTCCTAATGGACGACACGATGATTTATAGGGAAGATACGTTTGATGCGTTATCCTGTACCGGCGGTGAACGCGTGTTGCCCATATAACCGAGAAACGTTCAATTCGATGCAAATTGGGAACAATTCAGAAGGTACCTGGTTCGCTGGCAATTGACTTGAAAGCGGCTCGAGCGTGCTTCAAACGATCATGTTGCTCGAAACATTTCATACTTGCTGAATTTCCTGCCTACGTATTAAGTGTTGTGAAACTGTTCTTGTTTCCGTGAATACATTTTTGTTATTTATATCATCTTCTGACTATTTTTTTATTCATCTTTCATTTTTCAGAATTTATTTCTCAATGTTTTGATTTGTATCTTGAATTGCATTTTTATTTGTCTTGGTTTGTATCGTTTCTAAGTTGCTTTCTGACGCGTTGAATTTACGGTGCGTCGAGTTCACAGTGCATCGAATTTGGGTCGCATAGAGAGTACAGTGCATAGAATTTTCAGTGCGTTACGTTTGCGGCGCATTGAGTTTGCGACGCATCCAGTTAATGGCACATAGCGTACCGCGCATGTAGAGTACACGGTGCGCAGAGTAGTCGGCGCATAAAGTCCTTGGTGCGCAGAGTATTCGGCGCGTAGAGTACTAGACGCGTAGAGATCTCGATGCGCAGAGTATTCGGCGCATAGAGACCTCGGTGCGTGGAGTACTCGGTGCGTGGAGTATTCGGCGCGTGGAGTATCCGCCGCGTGGACTATTCGGCGCGTAGAATATTTGACGCGTAGAGTATTCGGTGCGTAGAGACCTCGGTGCGTGGAGTACTCAGCGCGTGGAGTATCCGGCGCGTGGACTATTCGGCGCGTGGACTATTCGGCGCGTAGAATATTCGACGCGTAGAGTATTCGACGCGTAGAGTATTCGTCGCGTAGAGACCTCGGTGCGTAGAGTACTCGGTGCGTGGAGTACTCGGCGCGTGGAGTATTCAGCGCGTGGACTATTCGGCGCGTAGAATATTCGACGCGTAGAGTATTCGGCACATAGAGACCTCGGTGCGTAGAGTACTCGGTGCGTGGAGTATTCGGCGCATGGAGTATCCGCCGCGTGGACTATTCGGCGCGTAGAATATTTGACGCGTAGAGTATTCGGCGCGTAGAGACCTCGGTGCGTGGAGTACTCGGCGCGTGGAGTATCCAGTGCGTGGACTATTCGGCGCGTAGAATATTCGACGCGTAGAGTATTCAGCACATAGAGACCTCGGTGCGTAGAGTACTCGGTGCGTGGAGTATTCGGCGCATGGAGTATCCGCCGCGTGGACTATTCGGCGCGTAGAATATTCGACGCGTAGAGTATTCAGCGCGTAGAGACCTCGGTGCGTGGAGTACTCGGCGCTTGGAGTATCCGGCGCGTAGACTATTCGGCGCGTAGAATATTCGACGTGTAGAGTATTCGGCGCGTAGAATACTCGGCGCGTAGAGTATTCGGCGCGTAGAGTACTCGGCGCGTAGAGACCTCGGTGCGTAGAATATTCAATCAGTGGAGTATTCGGCGCGTAGAATATTCGATGCGTGGAGTATTCAGCGCGTAGTACATTTGATGCGTGGAATATTCGGCGCGTAGAATATTCAACGCGTGAAGTAGCATAGAATATCCGAAGTGTAGAGTTTGCAGCGCATCGAATTTGTAATTTCAATGACTTTCACGACACCTTCCACTCGTATTATATTGTCACGCATTAAACTTGTCTCATACAATTCTCATTCGAAATCCACTACATATTATTTATAATAACCCTTGCATTCATTGCTCTAACCATCCGTTCTCATCGAAAATAGTGCTGCAGTTCGACAGTCTGTTGACAGTAGCTAGAGTATTATCAGAAAACGATAAGCAGCGATACTTTCTTTTTTCGTTGAACGCTTTCTGTCGAGTGAACCGACGCTAGAGGGAGCCTCTTTGTTTCTGCGCTTGATAACACGTCCCTTGTTCATCCAGGACACTTTTCGAGCTCTTTCGGCCCGATCTGGCAAAGGCAAACGCCTTCGAGAATCACGATATAGCGGGCACAAAGCCGTTTGTCAGAAACGCGACTCGAGTAACGGCAACAAAAGAAAAGCAGATGAAAGAAAATGGCACGAAGGACGAGAAAGTGCAAGCTGCGACGCCATTGTTCCATTGAGTCTTCCACCAATTATTGTTTTCGTCCCTGTGAACTTCTGCAATTAAATCAGTGACATCTCAAGAATTTTCGCTTCCCTGCGCGCAGTTATACCAACTATTTCGTTTTGCAAAATGAAGGACCATTATTTCTGATCGATATATGTAGAATATCTCGTACACGAAGTCTCTTGCGAATTTCTGGTTAAAGTCGAGGATTCAGTCTTCGGATGAATAATGCATCGATGGAAGAGCATGATTTGTAATTCTTGGAATTATCTCCAGTTAATCTAATCAATTGAAGAGTTTCAGCGTTTGACGCCGATGGGTATAAAGTTTCATGCGTAGCTGCGAAGTAATTTGAATGAAAACATGAAAACAAACGGCTGTGCAGCTATTCGCAAATCCGCTGACTCAGATTTGTGTATTTGCACGAAGATTCACGGAGTTCCGTTGATAAGAATGTCGACAACTCATTCACGCGTTTAGTTACATAATTACGATAGAATGCAAGTATGAATGAGATGTAGTAGCATGATTAAAAAATGTCAAACTTACGAATCAGAATTCAAAGCTCCCTTCTCCCACACAAATCTTTTATCACATACTCATTCATAAACAACGTACAATTTTATTATCCAACCAACAATAATTTATAGTATCAGACTCTGTAAAGTGCAACGAAACGTTTCAAAATGACGTAACGAAGATAAAATATTCAACGAAGCAATCTTTATTCATACCACCTGTCTGTCTTCCATCCTAATGTATTCTCTCTTCCCGTTCGTTCATTTGCCTCAACTATTCTTCTCTCTATGCCTTGTCATTTGAAACGTTTACTTGTTTCCTCACCCCTTTCTGTAATAAAATTAACCGGACATATCACCATCTCTCTGGACCGTTGTCCTCTGAATTTATTTAGTTCTCCGAACGGGGATGGCTAATCCCTCGCATGGGATTCCGAAGCACGGATTTCAGGGTCCTCTGCATATATTACACGCGTGTAATATTTGCTCTGGGACGAGGATTCTTCAGGATTTGCGAATCTTCCTTAGGCTCGTGCTTTTATTATACACAATTTCGGCACGTGTAATTACCTCTGTTGACACTGTTCGATGAATTACGAGTGGAGGAGAATAATGCAGGGCTGTTCAAATTGCTTATTTCATAAGTGATACTTGATGTAAAAAAATGTATGTGATATAAAATGTAACTATTTAATTAAGACATTAAAAAGCTATACTAGGCAGATACAAACGGAGATATTGAAAAATGATATAAATTTGAAATGACAAATTATGATAAAAGGCAGTGTTAGAGATGATACAAAATATGATGTTATGAGCGGTACAATTTAGAGACGACAAGAATGAAGGTATTAATACAATTTAAAGGTGATACAAAGACATTTTGTTCTACGCACCGTGTACTCTACACCGAGGTCTCTACGCGCCGAATACTCTGCGTATCGTATACTCTACGCGTCGAATATTCTATGCGTTGAGTACTCTGCGCACCGAGTACTCCACGCGCCGATTACTCTGCGCACCGAGGTCTCTACGCGCTGAATATTCTGCGCACCGTATACTCTACGCGTCGAGTATTCTGCGCACCGAGTACTCCACGCGCCGATTACTCTGCCCACTGAGTACTCCACGCGGCGGTTACTCCACGCGCCGATTACTCTGCGCACTGAGTACTCCACGAGTACTCCACGCGGTGGTTACTCCACGCGCCAATTACTCTGCGCACCGAGGTCTCTACGCGCTGAATATTCTGCGCACCGAGTATTCTACGCGCCGAATATTCTACGCGTCGAGTATTCTGCACACCGAGTACTCCACGCGCTGATTACTCCACGCGCCGATTACCCTGTGCACCGAATACTCCACGCGCTGATTACTCGACGCGCCGATTACTCTACGTACCGAGTACTCCACGCGGCGATTACTCCACGCGCCGATTACCTTGCGCACCGAGTACTCCACGCGGCGGTTACTCCACGCGCCGATTACTCTGCGCACTGAGTACTCCACGTGATGGTTACTCTACGCGCCGATTACTCTGCGCATCGAGGTCTCTACGCGCCAAATACTCTGCGCACCATATACACTACGCGTCGTGTATTCTACGCGCCGAGTACGCTGCGCACCGAGTATTCCACGCGCCGATTACTCTGCGCACCGTATACTCTACGCGTCGAATATTCTACGTGTCGAATATTCTACGCGCCGAGTACTCTACGTACCGAGTACTCTACGCGCCAAATACTCTGCATGCACAGAATTCTACCCGCCGCTAATTGAATGCGTCCCAATTTCCACGTGCCATAAATTTAACGCGAATCGAAAATATGATATAAGCAAGGCTCATGGCATTTTTCAGTGTGTCTTAATTTTATTTATGAAAGCAGATGATATTTTTCAGCAACTTTTTGCTGACAAGGAAAGACACCGCAATACTTGAGTTATACGGAGTATCACAACGTCAAGAAATTCTGCAGTCTCTTCCAGAATGGTCCCCACGTTCTCCTCCATTTCCCACGTGGATTCGTGAGAGGGTAACACGAACTCTCCAGCGCGTGATCCTTGACGGAGGGTAATGCTAACGAGCTTAGTCCTGCGGTCACGTATAACGTTAGAGTCGCTGTCAGTTCTTAAACTACACGCGATGTTCAAGGATTACCACGTAAGGGGATTATTAATTGCATGTCGACGTTTCCAGAGACGAATTCAGAGTTTAAATTTGTGCGAAGTTTGGAAAATAAGATGGATAATTTGTGAGGGTAATTTTTGACTGCTTCGTGATCACGTTTGATCAGTTCCTGGATGGGAGATTCTATGGCTGGAGGCAATAACGTGAATGTTTGAACGTGGAACAGTTTGAACTTAATGTTCTACGGTACGTCAGATACGCACATGATTATTAAGAAGATTTGGTTAATCATTTAATTTTGGAGCGTCTCATATTTCACTCAGATAAATTTAAATTAAATCAAATCAGCTGGATTTTGTTCTTTTAAAAGACTCATTTTCTTAATCGTATTAAATGAATGTTTCGCAAGTTCTAATCGAATTAAAGACTCTGAGATTGCCAAGTTCAGGATATCAAAAGTAGAAGGGACATAATAAGGCGCTTTAGCGGAAATGTATTATTTAAGGTAGAATTACCCTGAGGAACGTTAAATCGTATATAAGTACCAGAACCTTTCTGTCAATCGTTCGATTCCAACGATAAATGATGTTGAAACTCCTGAAGGAGCACAATCGAGAGATATTACTCTCGGGAAATGTCTTTCAAACAGTTTAAAGCGGAAGGTGCAGTTGGTTAATGAAAGCTCCCTGAAAAACAGAACAGCTTTCCGCAAAAAGGACAATTCCTGTTGTGTTTTGCAAATTGAAATAAAACGTTGATCTAAATATTATTTAAATATCAGTATACTTAAATGTTCAAATATTACGACCTTCGGTTCAAAATTCACTCTAAACTGACATATATAAATTTTCTAAAAATTACTGACGTGTTAAGAACGTTAATAATATTTTTATTAATCTCATAACAATTTCTACTATGATTTGCTCTTTTCCTAACGAGCTTCATAATTAACTTTCTCGACCATTCACGTGTAATCGCATTGTTCCTTGTGTCACCAGTTTAGCGCATACTTTGCAACTCGCATAAATCATCCACATAACGAGGACCAGTAATTAACACCGTCTATAACTGCAAGTTTTTTTACACCTTACCATAATACTTCTGACATGTCGGATTACAAAACATGATCATGACACGTCTAAAGCTACATCATCAATTTCTCTTTTTCTTCTGACTAGCAGTACTCGACACTCGTCTTCGCAAGCAGATAACAAGTTTGACGACTATGATCAACGATAGCAATGCCACCGAGAACGCGACGATTGCTAAGAACATAACGACATCTATGTCGTAACGTTGGCACCATGGTTGATTAGCTAAAGTTGAACGAAGATGAGGAGCCCCCTTGTGTCGGATCACGTACTCTGTCCACCAAACGAGGCGATCGAGTTCATTGTACGCAGTGTCTCTAATCAGGTCCCGAAGATGCGTTATTCTCTGCTTGTACCTTAACAAATTATAAAAAGGAATATAAGTGGAAATTTTGGTTTACGGTAAGTATAAATCATGCAAAAGATCTGCAGATCTCTACCTCTCACATCATATTCTTAACCCTAGTCCAAAATCTCGACGTCTCGAATTATGCATAATAAAACTAGTACGAATTAGGCCTATTCCAAAATCTTGCATATACTCACTCCTTGTTGGTTATAACTTCTTTAATAGTATTATCTAACTGTTCCCTCGTGAGAGTGGTGATTGTCAGCCACTTCCCAATTCCTAAAGCATTCACTCTGAATGTCATATAATCTTGGTCAGATAATACCGGAAAGCCCATGACCGGAACAGTCTTACTAATAGCCTCTTCCGTACTTTGCAATCCGCCCTGGTATATGAACAGCTTGATGTTGGGATGAGCTACGGATACAGAAACCTCGTACAATATTGTACTACTATTTCCGATACGTCCAATGAAACATAAATGGCAGTACCAAGAATACTCTGCTGAGGTAACCACTTTGCGGCGTACACGTTGTCTAGTTTTACCGGAAAGTCTTCTTCGTATTTCCAAATGATTCTGTAGGGTAATTTTGAGAACACGTCAAAGAACATCTGTTGAATATCCATTGGCATGTCCGCGCTTCTGGCGTTACCGCCGAAGCTCATATAGACGAATCCTTGTTTGGCCTCGTCCATGAAACGTTGCAGATCCTGTGAACAAATTTTTGATTGAAAATGATGAACAATAAAATGGAGGATATTTTCCCTTATCTTGATAAGTATATGATTAGATAAACTAAGTCTTGTGGATAAATCTTGTTGTACCTTGTTGATACGTTACCGGTATTAACATTAATAGCTAGTGCTATTTAGCTCTTTTCATTGAAAGCATGTTGAATGCATTACTGAGATAACAACACCATAACTAAGTATACTATTTATAACTTTACGAATCTCATAGCTTATTATGTTCAAGATGGAACATACTTTAGGTGCAGGTGGAGGATTTTCATCAACGTGGAGAGACGTGAAGGAGATTATGTTCGGTAGTTTTGGGCGAGCCGGTATGAAGGGCTCCGGCTCGTTGACAAACACGAGGCTAGTATTCTTCACAATGTCAATCAGCGGAGGTAATTTCGTCCCAAGGTAATGCTCGGCCATTTTTTGATGACGTGGAACCCACTCATTAAATATTTTGTACAGTGTTCGCCACATCACAATGTAATTCTGCACCCTCTGCCAAAACGGTAAATTCGAACCCGGCCTCGCTCCCATTTCCCAAGTGTACTCGTTCGAGGGCAGTACGAATCCGCCAAGGGCGTACTCGTACATGTTCAAAAGCCCCAACGAACTTAAACCTACGATCAAATGGCAAATTGTTAGAAAAAATTATTATTGAAAAAACAACAAAAAAATACCTATTAGCGGAGCGTCGAATCTGTGTGCCATCGAATATATGGACGGTACATAAGAAAATTCCGCTAGAACCACGTCGAACTTAGCGTCGCTATCGGCTGCATACAGTCGTTTCATTTCCGAGTTGTTGAACACGTTCTCCATGAAGCTTTCACATGCACTAAGTATTCGTTTTTCCAATACTTCTATCCAAGTCAATCCGTCGAATCGGAACTGCATGAAGTTGACGGTTTTAAAATCAGCATTGATACTGCTTAAGTCGATTTGAGTAAAGTTCTTTAAGTTGACGTTGGGAATGGGATGGGTCGTAGCATACACGACTTCGTGGCCTCGTTTCTGCAGTTCTAACATTAACTTTCTAAACGGGACCTGATGACTGAAGGATGGAACCGGGACCAACGCTAAAATCTTTGCACTACGAGTTTTTTCGATGGCGCACAAGGCGCATAGGACGAACAGCACGCTCGCGACGTTCAGCTTCATGGCTTCGACTCGGACTGCTGGGATTTGCGGTGCGTAAGCTTTTAAAACTACAGAACGGACTGCTGATATATGAACTTCGAGACGTAATATTATCAGTCACGTTATGGTTCCCCAGACTCTTATTATTAATGCTGACTAATGGTGATTACTTGACTAGTTATCCACATTCTATTGAAACATTTCACTCATGGACTCGTTATCTGAAGCGGCCATAATTTTACTTCGATAAGCGAGAATACGCACTGTATGGTGATTGTGATTGGTACTTCAACAACCGGATAACTTTAGTGTTGGTGCTATGTAGACACAAAATTAGAATTCGCTTACGTAACATAAACGCGTCGTTAATAGTCACGTGACTCTGACTAGATCATGACCTCAATGTTGTGAATTTGAATTAGTTCAATTTTCTGCCGGTGTCGTGATAGTAAGATGTTTTAGTGACAGTTGATCGATGGATTTATCTGAGAAACGTTAAATCGTTTGTAATTGGATGAACCTTTTAGTCCATCGCTCGATTTCAGCGATAAATGAAGTTGAAACTTCAGAGATTCAAAGATTTGTGTTATTATCGTAAATATATAAATAAATTATAAATACATTGAATTTAACAGGAATAATTAAAAATGGAAACATTAAATTTTATTTCAATACTTTATTTCTACATACAACTGAACGATTTAAACGAAAATCCTTTCTTCGATAAGTTCTGCTTTCTATTATTATTACTTTGGTTTTACTAATACCTTAGGCAGTACTATATCATTTTATTCTAGAGTCGATAATTATAAAAATGGACAGTTCAACGACATGGCGCATATTCAATCAAATATTTACAATATCGCTGCAAATTGATAAGTACTCTCTACGCAGTAATAAACGCTGACGTTCATGAACTTGAAACGTTTCTAAGAAATCGGTGTTAATTAACGCTATTGCTAAGGAACGTGGAGTTACACGTCCTCCATTTGTATGATCAGTTTAGCGGGTCTTTCTCGTACAGTAACATTCTGCCATTTTCACGGAACACAGAATCGATTAAAATTTGCTATTGCTGATCTATTAACCCTTTTCACTCGAAGATAATTTTACTGTTTGCAAACAGCAACTTTAAAATATTAATTAAAATGTTAAATGACTTCTTTTGAAGTTATTATTTCTCTACTAATAATTTCCACTGTTGTCTATTTCACTATGTTTATACATCACATAAGCACTATTATAGAATTAATTAAATAATGCTTCTTTTAAATTATTGTATTAAAGCGAATGGCGCCTAAGAGGCGCCTCTCGAGTGCAAAGGGTTAATAGCCTTAAACCATATCTAATACTATAAAATTAATATTTCAATTACATCAATCACAGTTCTCCTTTGGGAATTCAAGATCAAAATATTTCACAATATCGTTAGGGAATGTTAAAATATTCTTCTATTTTAGTTGTTCTTGTCATATTTACGTTTATGCTTGTCACTTGCCTTAGGTTTACTTGATTAGGCTTACGCAATAGTTTTGATTAGTCCGTTGGTTAAAGGCACTCGTGCGATATTTATAGCGCTATCTAATCGTTAACTTATCTTTTGCTTTTGCCCCACAGAGCTTGAAAGATATTTGAAAACGTGCACGAGTATCCTGGCGAGTATGTTCACTAATATGGATACTACCACGAACGCGATGATTGCTAAGAATGCTACTATGTCTATGTCGTAACGTTGGTACCAGGGTTGATTAATTAAAGTTGAACGAAGGTGAGGTGCACCCTTGTGTCGAATCACGAACTCGGTCCACCAAACGAGATTGTCCACCAAATCGTATGGGTTGTCGTTAACCAGTTCTCGAAGGTGAAGCATCTTTTCTTTGTATCTGGAATAATAGTCGTTTGCAATCATTAATAGAAATTAGTTAAGGGAGTAATGGTTATTGTGGTAACGTTATTGTTTATAGCAGAGAAAGATTAGGTGTTGCGTTGGGATGTTTTGTCATATGTTTCTGGATCAGTAGACTTCATACATATAAGTATATACTATCAAATTCTTATATTCTTATATTTCTATAATACCAGAGTCACATATGCTTAGATACTTGAATCTCCCACATATCTCAAAATCACCACATACATGGTCTTGATCCTTGGATCAGCATATTTACATATAGATATCCATATCCACAAATGATCATACTTCCAGATTGTTATATTCCCAGGACTATGTATTCTCAGATCTCTCTATCTCTAGATTTACATATACACAGTGTCATATAGATCTCTAATTGGATAGGGTACGTAGGATATGTGATATGTAGCATATAGGATATGTAGGATAAAGAATGTATAGAATATATGACATGTGGGATACAGAATGTGTAGAACATATTACATGTGTGATGCAGAATATGTAGGATATAGAATATTCCTATAAAGTATAAGATCTCCAGACTCTTACCCTAACCTTACCCCACTTCTAAATACCAAGTCCATCCCAAATTCAACATAAAGTACTTCATAAAACTTGTATATACTCACTGCTTATTGGTTATAACCTCCCTAATAGTACTGTCTATCTGATCCTTCGTGATCGTCAGAATTTCCAAGTATTTGCCAACTCCAAGGGCATCCATTCTTTTAGCCTGATAGTCCTGATCACCAAGAATAGGAATGGCTACGAGTGGAACCCCAAAGTGAATGGCCTCTTCGGTACTCTGCAGTCCTGCCTGGTATATGAACAGCTTGATGTTGGGGTGAGCTGTGAATACAAACCTCGTACAATACAACAATTCTGTTGCAAATATCCAACGAAACATAAATGTTTCCAAGTATAAATCTTACCGAGTATACTCTGCTGAGGTAGCCATTTTCCAACGTACACATTGTCAAGTTTCACCGGAATCTCTTTCTCGTACTTCCAAACGATTCTGTATGGTAATTTCGCAAACACGTCGAAGAACATCTGTTGAATCTCCATCGGCATGTCCGAGCTTCTCGCGTTGCTACCAAGACTGAAGTAGATGAATCCCTCCTTTGCTCCATCCAGGAAACGCTGCAGGTCCTGTGATAAAATTCTTGAATGAAATCGAGCGATAAAATGTGCGAGATTTTATCCACTTTTCGCTAGTTCAGATAATTGTACGATACGCTACTTGTTGATTCCATATCAATATCGTTAATCAGACTGTGGATATTTATACATTTATGATACATGGAGGGCGACAAAATGTAAATAAATTATGTTATCTATGAACTCTATGTACAGATTAAACTGTTTACATTTACTTTCATATATCATAAATACACATTCGTCTACCAACCATAAATATTTACAAATAACGACTTAAATTTGGGTCAACACTTTTTGTTAACTACCTTCGGCAGGGGATCAGGTTTTTCTTTCACGTGGAACGATGTAAAGGTGATCATGTTTGGCAATTTCGGTCGAGCCGGCGTCAGAGCGTCTGCTTGATTAACAAAGATAAGGCTAACGTTCTTGACGATGTCAATTAGCGGTGGCAGACGCATCCCGAAGTAACGTTCTGCAATTGCATGCTGACGGGTATAACATTCGTTGAGTATTTTGTGAGTGTACCGCCACAGGGACACGTAATTCCATAGCCTTTTCCAGAATGGTAAGTTTGGACCATTATCGGTCATCTCCCACATGTACTCGTGAGAAGGCAGCATGAATCCACCCAGAACGTGTTCGAGGTGGGAAGGGATTCCTAATGAACTTATACCTGGGCAAGTTACATAAAAATAAGTTACAAAGGCACCTTTTAGACACATAGTCTATTGTCTATAATCACACAGGGGATTATCTCATAGGGGATAATTTGAAAGTAAATTATACTAAATTTATTACTAAATTCCCACCTTTTACAATTCTCAAATTTCCAAATTAAGTTTTCAAATTTCTAAAGACCACAATTCGACACTTTACTATTCCGAAAATTTCTAAAAGTCATTCACCTTATTCTGAATGTCATTAAGTACCGTTATTCTGGGTATCTCTTCACATATGCAAAGATCTACCTTTCAAAACTTTCGAAATTAGAAATTCTTAAGAAGTTCAACCACGAAATAACAAATCAATCACACAACCAAACCTTAACAAAGTAACGACATAAAAATTGGAGTACCTATAAGTGGAGCGTCGAACCTATACGCCATGACATAGGTAGCCGGCATAAACAAAAATTCAGTCAGAACCACATCAAACTTAGCACCACTATCGGGCGCGTATAATTTTCTCAACTCCGTATTATTCAAGAACTGTTCCGTCAAAGAATCTGTCATGTCGGGCAAAGAATCCATCATGAACTTCAACCCGTAATTTCCTTCGAATCGATACTTCATGAACTCGTTAGCTTGCATGATGCCATAACCGCTGCTTATGTCTATCTGAGTGAGTCTCGTTGAGTTTATGGGCAGAGGATTTGCCGTAGCGAAAACAACTTCGTGTCCATGTTTGTGTAGTTGTGTCACTAATTTTCTGAACGTGACCTGATGACTGTAGGACGGTATTGGAACCATCACCAAGATTTTCGAGGAACGAGTTTCCTCGATGAGGCACAACGCGCATAAAATTAAAATCGCGACGTTCAGCTTCATGGCTTCGAACCGCTTCGTCACTCGGTCTCAGATCAACTAAGAGCTCGTGAGGGACTCCGGTTATTTACGCGGGATGGTTCTCGAGATGTCACGCTATCAGCTGTGGTTCCAGCTGATTGTGATTCACAGTGACCACGCAACTATTTCGAGTATTGGAATCTTAACAGTTTTAATATGTGTGGTATCTTTAATCTTAGAATGAAATGTATTGATTTAATGTATTTTATACTGAATTGTGCTATCGGGTCATTTGAGGCGTAAGGAGTCTTTTTCAAATTATGGAAAATTAAAAATTTGCAAATGATGCGTTAACACTCGAAAGCTAAATATATTTACAAACTCAAGGTAAACTGATAAACTCCGTCTTTCTGAGTCACTCATTCTTCTCATAAAAGGGAAAAACTGATTCATGACCGCAAACACATCTGGGTTGCCCAACTCAAAGACTATTTCTAAATTCATACCAATACACAGACATACCTATCTATATCTATCACATAGATATACCGCTGAAAATCTAAAAATTGATGGCGTACCTATATACGGTGTGTCGAATCTGTAAGCCATGGCGTACGTAGCCGGCATAAAGAGAAATTCGTTCAGAATCACGTCAAACTTCACACCACTGTCTGGCGCGTATAATCGTCGCACCTCCGTGTTGTTCAGCAGCTGTTCCGACAAAGAATCGGATACACCGGGCATAAATTCCTGCATGAACTTTAAGCCGTACATCCCCTCGAATCGTAGTTTCATGAAGTTGTGGAATTGTATGGTATCGTAAGTGTCACTTATGTCGATCTGAGTGAGCCTCGTCGAGTTCACCGGAACGGGGTCAGACGTCACATACACGATTTCGTGGCCGCGTTTGTGCAGTTCTAGAACTAATTTTCTGTGCGGGATTTGATGACTGTAAGACGGTATGGGGACCATCACTAAGATCTTCGCGCAACGAGTTTCCTCGATGACGCACAACGCGCACAAAACGAGCAACGCGATGTTCAACTTCATGATGAACCGCTTTGGCACTCGGTTGCAGAACAACTAACAGGAAAATCTACAACCACGGGCTATTTACGTAAAATAGGTCTTCATGTGTGACGCTATCAGTATGCAATTTTCCCGTGTTGTCGCTGTTATTGCTGACTCATGCTCTTGCAAGTATCTCGATTAGTAGCAGCTATCTTAAGTAATTGTTTTATTTTGATAGGCGGGAAATCTTGTATCGCAATTATCTTTAATCTTTCGAGGATCTGCAGCGTGAAGATGTCGTTAAGGCTGCTATTAGTTGGTCGTTAGAGATACGAAATATTTTTTTTAAGTTAAAAAATTTATTCTAGTTCGTTCAATGAAGTCTGTATTTATTTGTAAGGATGTAAACAAGTAATGTGTGTTGATTTAGGTCTCATATTTCTTTGAGTGATTTTTAGGGTTTATTGCGAATGAGGTTAGGTTCGTACCGTGGATGTAAGAATATGTGAACAGGAGACTTCTGTAAAGTGGACATTAGAGGAACCTTGAGAATTCTAAACTTTTAGACTTTCAAGTTTGCCCAAATCTTTAAATTTCCCTTTCACAAATTCTGAAACTTAAGTTTCTCAAAATTTTGAAATCCATAAATTTGTAAATTCCCAAACTTTTAAACTACTGATCTGCAAAATAATCAAATTCTAAAATTTTCGCCAAATTTTTAAACTTGCATGTATCCTACTAAACATCCGCTGTCCCTTAGTGTAAACATGTTCTCAAAAAATGCGTTGCTGTGTCATTGAACTCGACATCGTGACTTCGATGTTTTTATTCAGATTAGATGCCTGCGAGTAAGGCATAATAACAGGACCCTCAGCCGGAAATTTATCGAAGAATTTTCCTGAGAAACGTTAAATCGTTCATAACTAGCAGAACCATTCCATCAATCGTTCGATTCCAGGGATAAATGAAGTTGAAACTCCTGAAGTAGCCCAATCGAGAGACATTACTCTCGGGAAATGTCCTTCCAATAGTTTAAAGCTGAAGTAGTGGATTGGGTATTAAAAACCCACGGGTAAATAGAACGAAACGGAGCAACATTTTATAAAATGCCACAACTCTTTCTATTCCTATTAACCTAAGATTATAAAGTCTTATAAAAAAAGAAGTCTTAAAGTCTTCTCAATTTAAATCTTAGATAACTTGTACAAATAAATACGTATAGAAATAATGATCTTGAACACGAATGTAAATGAAAGGGAATTAAAAGACATTCATATCTTTTGTACTGCAATTAATATTTATTTTTCTAATAATTTTTGTCGCACATTTGTACTATCGTCTTTAAGTAATAACGAAATAACTTTTAATAACATCAATTATTTATAAAATCGAATTAAAAAGTATTCGACTTAACCCTTTTAGTGCCGGGAGCCGATATATCGGCTCTTGCTGCACTGGCGAGAAGTGCCAGAGCCGATATATCGGCCCGCTCCTCGTAGCACCTTACTATTCGCATTGCGGGAGAACTCTATCTCAAAATAATTTTATAATACGTTATAAATGGTCTAATTTCATTACGAGAGAATTAAAAATAATAATGAAGTATTATGCAAAATTATAGCACAAACATATCTATGAAAACATAATTTTGTCAACCATGTATCTTCGACTTAATTTTTGTTTTTGTTATGTAATATTATTTATCTTGTCACAAAATATATCGGAAATGCAAAGTATATACTTTGTAATAAATAGTCTATATAAAATTATGATGAAAAGACGACTTTTTGTATGTGCAAATATGTTTTGTACGAGAGAACTCAACTTTTACTTTTTTTAATAATTGTTTATCCCTTTGCCATTTATATAATTTTCAATGAATATAGAAAAAACTAGTGTCAATGTTTTGTTCGCTATTTTGTCATCCTACTGCTTTTTGAATCATGTAAATATTATTATTGGTTTGGTTTTTATGAGCATTTTCCCCAACCCTAGTAAAACGGTGAAATTCAGCCGGTTATTGTCGCGTAGACACCTGTTTTTCGCCCGGTACTAAAAGGGTTAATACGTGTAATGCGTCACGCCAAATTTCGTTAGTCACTTCGAAGCATAACGTAGGGTTTAAATTTACTTGACATCTGGCCTCGCGACTAAACATTTTAACAAGCTCAAATCTTTCGAAGCACTTCACGCACGTGTTATGCGTGCTAAATGAACGTGACAATTCTGTTTCAACGTATGTACAATTCAACCGGCCGTTTTTTAAACTAGCCACTCCATGTCTAAAATGTATCCTTTTCTCGATTTCAGCAGGAAGTTGTAAAAGATGAATTCCAGCGAAAATGCTTAGAAATTACGTAAGTTAAACTTTCTCGATAAGAGTGGTCCAGAAATATATGGCGCGCTATTTAAATGTTGCAGTTTTCTTCATTTCTCACGGTTCTTTGTTAGCCACATAACGTTTCTTGGAAATAGATTCCACTATGGTGACAGAACGTTCTCTGAATGTTTGACATTAGAATTCTTGGTATGCGAAAATGGGGAATAAATGACTCACTTCCTTCACTTTGTTTCTTCAAATATGACGTCTGCTATGAACAAATAATTCAATTTATAATAAATTGCAAAGTTTAATAAAAATGTAGCTGATCATACCGGAGAATTTTTATCTGTTTTCTAAGTTAACCTGAATCGTCCGTGTATAAAACTTTGAAGAACATAAACCGTAAAAATATGTTGAAACGCTTAGCGAACACCATCGTGCCCCACGAGTAGTCTCATTATTTACCCACACAAATATCAGTATTACAAAAATACATCATATCCGTTCTATGTGATGTTCATCTACAAGACCATTAAAATCAGTAGATAATAACTTAAGAGTATTACATCGCAATGTTATATGAATATACGTAATCGCTTTAAGAAAGAAGCATCCTCAACAAATACGTTGAACCTGTCTTTTGTTATACGTGAAAGTATAAAACCTTAAAATAAACTTCGACTAACGTTAACATTGCAGTTAACGCTGAACACGCTCATTGAACTTATACATTTAATTTGTCAATTCACAAAACGCACACATACGCAACAGTATAACTAGTTGATATGACGTACTAGCTCATCTTTTGCTTTTGTCCAGAGTTCGTCAATTTGTATAAGCATACGACAAGCTTCGCCATTACGATCAGCGACGTTGATACGACCACGAACGCGACGATCGTTAAGAACATTACTACGTCTATGTCGTAACGTTGGTACCAAGGTTGACTGGCTATAGTTGAACGAAGATGGGGTGCACCCTTGTGCCGAATTACGTACTCCGTCCACCAAACGAGATGGTCCACATGATTGTATGGAGTGTCTCTAATCAGATCTCGAAGCCGAATTATGTTCTTCTTGTATCTGTGAATAATTACAAAGAGATATTTATATATAATCATTACAAAGAGAGATGCGAGAGATATAATGTAGACATTTTGGTTAGTGATGGAAATATATGGAGAAACATGGATGTTTCTGGGTTTCAAAATCACAAATTCCTATATCGCCAGATCTTCAGATCTCTATCTATCAAATGATATTCCAAAATACAGTCAAAAACCTAATGTCATATCAAATCATATTTATAATAAAGCTAGTACGAATTAACCCATTGCACTACTTTGACGAGTCTGACTCGTGACGCACTCGTACTTCGGCCGTGATCAATTTTACTCGAATTTTTAATACGCTCCAATTTGAAGTTCAAGTCCAATTATAATTTGCATAGTTAAAGATTGCATGATAACATATTGACATAAAATTTCAAATTTTTTTGTTCGTGTTAATATTATAGCTGTAATTAGTCAGTTTTGACTGACGCACCTAACAAATAAGCCATAGTGCAAGGTGTTAAGAATATTTCTAAACCTCGCATATACTCACTCATTATTGTTCATCATTTCCCTAATAGCACCATCTAGCTGCTCCCTCGTAACAGTGGTAATTTCCAAGCTCTTTCCAATCCCAGTAGCAACCACTCTGGCCGATAGATAATCTTGATCAGCCAACACCGGGAAGGCTAGGAGTGGAACTGCAAAGTTAATAGCCTCTTCGGTACTTTGTAATCCTGCCTGGTATATGAACAGCTTGATGTTGGGATGAGCTGCAAACAACGAAACCCCGTGTAATACAACGCCACTAATTCTGTTACAAGTATTCGATGAAACATGAATGGAGCCTTACCGAGTATGCTTTGCTGAGGGAACCACTTGTCAACGTACACGTTGTCGAGTTGTACCGGGAAGTCCTCCTCGTACTTCCAGATGATTCTGTAGGGTAATTTTGAGAATACGTCGAAGAATATTTGTTTAACGTGCATTGGTATGTCCGCGCTTCTGGCGTTACTACCGAGGCTCATGTAGATGAATCCTTGTTTGGCCTCGTCCATGAAACGCTGCAGGTCCTGCGATAAAATTCTTGGATGAAACTGATGAACGATAAAATGGACATTTTTCCTAATAAGTGTGATTAGATAAAACTCTTGTTCGTAATCCGTATCACAACTACCAGCTGCCACTGCCTAACTGTTTTGATTTCATCTACCTATTGCATAACATTGCAATAGGGACGTTATAATTAAATGTCCTTTTATATAATATATAATTGTCCTTTAACATCTAGTAGCTTAGTCTGTACCTTCGGGGTAGGCGGCGGATTATCATTAACGTGGAAAGACGTGAAGGTGATCATGTTCGGCAGTTTCGGGCGACCCGGCGTGAAAGCGTCGGCCTCGTTCACAAATACGAGGCTAGCGTTCTTCAAAATATCAGTCAGCGGAGGTAATTGCATCCCAAGGTAACGTTCCGCCAGTTTTTGGTTTCGTGGCACGAATTCATTGAATGTTTTATACATTATTTGCCACATCAAGACATAATTTCGCAACCTTTGCCAAAATGGTAAATTCGATCCTGTATTCGCCTCCATTTCCCACGTGTACTCGTGTGAAGGTAGCACGAATCCACCGAGGGCGTACTCGTGTAGATTGAGGAGTCCTAAAGAAGACATACCTGCAATCATACGAAAAATTGTTACCAAACGTTTAGTTGACTAGTTGGAATTGTACTTTATAGTTGTTCATAAAATACGGATAAGGGTAGTTATTAATGTATTCCTTTTGATTTTGTAGGACGAGGTACATTAGCTTTACTACGTGATGTGATCCAAATTAATTTAAAGTACGTTTGGCCTAAATTACATTGCCGAGTTTAAATCTTATTTAAAAAGACTTGGAACTTTAAATGTTTGAACCACCAAGTGGCAGTAATTGTAACACAGAAAATTTCTACAAATATCTAACCTACCAGACACCTACAGACATTATCAATGACTATCAACCCCCAAATGCATAACCCTCAAAAAATAACAAATGATGAAAATAACATAATCAGAGTAATACCTATTAGCGGAGCGTTGAACCTGTATGCTATAGAGTATATCGCCGGCACGTACACAAACTCAGCCATAACCAAATCGAACTTAGCGTCACTGTCAGGTGCATAGAGTCGTCGCATCTCCGCGCTTTTCAGCACGTTTTCCGAGAAAGTAACACTCAGGTCAAACAAATAATTGTCCAAGAACTCCAACCAAGTAGATCCATCAAAGCGGTATTTAATGAAGTTGAGGGCTTTCATGCTTACGTAGCTACCACTTACGTCGATTTGAGTAAAGTTCTTCAAGTTCACTTCAGACATCGGATTGGCTGTCGCGTACACGATTTCGTGGCCACGTTTGTGCAGTGCTAATAGTAACTTTCTAAACGGTATCTGATGACTGTAAGACGGTGTCGGGACCAGCGCCAAAATTTTCGCGCTGCGAGTTTTCTCGATGGCGCACAGCGCACAGAGAACGAAGAGCACGCTCGCGATGCTTAGCTTCATGGTTACGGCTCGGAAATGAACTGCTGCGTTCCTCGGTTAGTGGACTATTAAAGCCGTATCCTATACGTCATCAACCGTTGTCGCAATGTGAATATTGAGACGTAACATTATCAGTTACGTTATAGTTTTTGCTGATGCAAATTAGCGATGAAGATTTGGCTTGTCATTCACATGCAACATTTACATTAGTTATCTTGAACGGTTATAATTTTATTTCGATAAACGGGAATATTTATTGTATCGCGATTCCCTTTGACATTCTGAACGAATGATAACTTGTAGTAAATCTGCAACCATTGCACTGAACTGTGTAAGTTTATCGCGCGCGCTAGACTTTCTCGGATGGTTGTTTAATTTACGGACAATTTTTGCTTCAGGTTAGACTTTCTGCATTTGTCACTATGACGGTGCATAGTTCGTGCTGATTTACAAGCAGGGTTATGGTCGAGTCGTTCATTTGTTACCAGTGGTGTAATTAGGATGTTTGTGTGGAGCGTTGTTCCTTCTATCATCTTGAGTATTAGAATGTTGGATTAAGATACGCGACAAAGTTCAATATTTCTGCCGTTTACTTTGTTGAAGTAGAAAATGAATTAGCATTCGTTAGTATTATGTAAACGCGTCGTGGAAAACGTGTGGTCGTGACTTTGGGATTTTATATCGACTTTATTGTCTTGATGTAGAATCTCTGTACATGTCATGATAAGATTCAGTGAAAGCTAATCGTCAAGATTCTCTGAGAAATGTTAAATCGTTCGTAACTAGCAGAAGCTATCCATCAATCGTTCTATGAATAACTGAAGTCGAAGTTTGTGAAGAAGCCAAATCGACAGACATCGTTCTCGGCAAATTTCCTCCGAGTACTTTAAAGCTGAAGTATTGAAAAGCCACTAGAAAATGAAACGCGTTCGTATGTTTTACTGAAATAAATTTTTATTTTGTCATTGAAAGAAGCAATTGCAATTTTGAGTCACATCAGTCCAACTATTTGTAAAATTAAATTAAAACATATACGGTTGTGTATAAACTTAAAACATTCAATACAAAATGTGAAGATATGCTGAAATGCTTAGTTGAACGCAATCAGGCTTGCCGATCTGTCAGTCTTACAGACAGCAATATAGATAAGTACCAAAACTAACAAAGTTTCATCATACGAGCATAACTATAGTTTATAGTTATGATATATAACGTTTAATAAATATATTAAACTGGTCAAAAAGTTGTGTCGTAAGAAGCGTGTAAGACGTGAAAGTATAAAACTTTAAAATAAATTTCACTTACAACTACTCGACCGAAATTAACATTTCATCCTAACTAGTCTTTACCCTTTAAAGCGAAGCCCAATTTTAATTGAACTTACGCAACGCACTTAATTTGTCAATCGTCAAATATGACGCAACTACCATTGTCTATTCATTAGCTTTGCTTTTGTTCCGCAGAACTCGAGAATTTGTAATGATACATGATAAGCTTCGAGATTATGTACACTATTATCAATAAGGTCACGAACACACCGATTGTTAAGAATATTACTTCATCTATGTCGTAACGGTACCAAGGTTGATTGGCTATAGTTTAACGAACATGAGGTGCATCCTCGTGCACCCTCATGCAGACACAAACTTCGATACGTGATTCGTCATATTATGATTTTCCAAACTAATTCTTAATGCAACTTTATAAAATTCCAAATATTTTTGTTATCAAGAACTGGAAGTTTAAGATTATCATTCTAAATTTCGTTTAATATTAATAAATTCAATACATTAATATTAATATATTTACTGGGGATTGATAAGCTTTGTATGTTAGTAAATATTAATGTCCTGTTACATTAATAAACATTATAAATAAAAATAGAAAATAAATTATACTAAAATTTTTATTTCTATGGTTTATACATAATGAACGATTTCAACGAATTGTCGACACATTTTGTTTTTTATTATTATTACATTAGTGTTACTGATACCGTGTACAGTGTACATCATTTTATTACAGTGTCGATAAGTACATATAAAATCGAGGAACAGTTCAATGACATGGCGTATGTGGAACAAATACGTACAATATCGCTGCAAATTGATAAATATTCGTTCTCCACGCAAGATTACACGCTCGTTGACGCTCCCGAACTTGATAGTCGCATTAAACGCAATCGTATGATACTTGACGCATTATCTAACCGTTAATTTATCTTTTTCTTTTGTGTCGTAGGGCTCAACAGTTGTCTGTGAACGCGCACGATTATCCTGGCGATTATATACACCAACGTCGATACGATCACGAACGCGACGATTGCTAAGAACATAACGACATCTATGTCGTAACGTTGGTACCATGGTTGATTAACTAAAGTTGAACGAAGATGAGGTGCACCCTTGTGACGGATCACGTACTCTGTCCACCAAACGAGACGGTCCACTTCGTTGTACGCAGTGTCTCTAATCAGGTCTTTAAGATGCGTTATTCTCTGCTTGTACCTTAACAAATTACAAAGAGGATTATAAATTTTGGTTTACGATAAGTATAAATCATGCAAATGATCTGCAGATCTCTACCTCTCACATCATATTCTTAACCCTAGTCCAAAATCTCGTCGTCTCAAGTTATGAATAATAAAACTAGTTCGAATTAGGCCTATTCCAAAATATTGCATATACTCACTCCTTGTTGGTTATAACTTCTCTAATAGTATTATCTAACTGTTCCCTCGTGAGAGTGGTGATTGTCAGCCACTTCCCAATTCCTAAAGCATTCACTCTGGATGTTATATAATCTTGATCAGATAACACAGGAAAGCCCATGACCGGAACAGTATTACTAATAGCCTCTTCCGTACTTTGCAATCCGCCCTGGTACATGAACAGCTTGATGTTGGGATGAGCTACAGATACAACGAAATCTCGTACAATATTGCACTACTATTTCCGATATGTCCAATGAAACATAAATGGCAGTACCAAGAATACTCTGCTGAGGTAACCACTTTGCGGCGTACACGTTGTCTAGTTTTACCGGAAAGTCTTCTTCGTATTTCCAAACGACTCTGTAGGGTAATTTTGAGAATACGTCAAAAAAGATCTGTTGAACATCCATTGGTATGTCCGCGCTTCTGGCGTTGCCGCCGAGGCTCATGTAGATGAATCCTTGTTTGGCCTCGTCCATGAAACGTTGCAGGTCCTGTGAAAACATTTTTCATTGAAAATGATAAACAATAAAATGGAGGATATTTTGTCTCTTTCCTCATCCTGGTAAGTATATGATTAGATAAACTAAATCTTGTGGATAAATCTTGTTGTATCTTGTTGATACGTTATCGGTATTAACATTATTAGTTTGTTTAGCTCTTTTCATTGAAACCATATTGTGCACTACTGAGATAACAACACTATAATTAAATATAATATTTATAATTTTGCGGATAGCTTATCATGTTCAATATGGAACATACTTTTGGTGCAGGTGGTGGATTTTCATCAACGTGGAGAGACGTGAAGGAGATCATATTCGGTAGTTTAGGGCGTGCCGGCGTGAAAGGCTCCGGCTCGTTGACAAACACGAGGCTAGTATTCTTCACAATGTCAATAAGCGGAGGCAATTTCGTCCCAAGGTAATGCTCGGCCATTTTTTGATGACGTGGAACCCACTCATTAAATATTTTGTACAGTGTTCGCCACATCACAATGTAATTCCGCACCCTCTGCCAAAATGGTAAATTCGAACCTGGCCTCGCTCCCATTTCCGCAGAGTACTCGTTCGAAGGCAGTACGAATCCGCCAAGGGCGTACTCGTACATGTTCAAAAGCCCCAACGAACTTAAACCTACGATCAAATGACAAATTGTCTGAAAAGATCATTATTGAAAAAATAACAAAAAAATACCTATTAGCGGAGCGTCGAATCTGTGAGCCATCGAATATATGGACGGTATATAAGAAAACTCCGCTAGAACCACGTCGAACTTAGCGTCGCTATCAGCTGCGTATAGTCGTTTCATTTCCGGGTTGTTGAACAAATTTTCCATGGAGCTTTCACATGCACTAAATACTTGTTTTTCCAATACTTCTATCCAAGTCACTCCGTCGAATCGGAACTGCATGAAGTTGAGGGTGTTAAATTTAGCAGGGGTACGGCTTAAGTCGATTTGAGTGAAGTTCTTTAAGTTGACGTTGGGAATGGGATGGGTCGTAGCGTACACGACTTCGTGGCCGCGTTTTTGCAGTCCTAATATTAACTTTCTAAACGGGACCTGATGACTGAAGGATGGAAACGGGACCAACGCTAAAATTTTCGCACTACGAGTTTTTTCGATGGCGCACAAGGCGCATAGGACGAACAGCAAGCTCGCGGCGTTCAGCTTCATGGTTTCGACTCGGACTGTTTCGATCTTTGGTGTGGAAGCTTTTGAAGCTATTGCTAGAGTGGACTACTGATATATGAACTTCAAGAAGTATTATTATCAGTCACGTTATGGTTCCCCAGACTCTTATTATTAATGCTGACTAATGGTGAAAACTTGACTAGTCATCCACATTCTATTGAAACATTTCACTCACGGACTCGTTATCTTAAGCGGTCATAACTTTACTTCGATAAGCGAGAAGACGCACTGTTTCGTGATTGTGCTTGGTATTTCAACAAACGGATGATAAGTTAGTGTTGGTGCTATGCAGACACAATAATTAGTATTCGTTTACATAATACAAACGCGTCGTTAACAGTCACGTGACTTTAAGTATACATCATGACATCAGTGTTGTGAATTCAAATTGGTTCCAGTTTCTTCGGTGTCATGATAATAAGATGTTTCAGTGGCAGTTTATCGATGGATTTCTCTGCGTAATGTTAAATCGTTTGTAATTGGATGAACCTTTCAGTCCATCGCTCGATTTCAGCGATAAATGAAGTTGAAACTTCTGAAGGAGAAATTCTACTCTCGGTGTGTCGAACAATTTAAAGAGAAAGTTGTGGACTGGTTAATAAAAGTTGAGAGATAAAATAATTTTAAGAAAAAAAATACGCCGACTTCGAAATGCACTAAAAAGTATAAAATAATTTCTATTTCCTAATAAAGTAATTTCTCTTTCATTCAATCATACAATTACGTAACAGATATGAATGAAACCTATTTACTCGTTAGGTAGCATATTAAATGCATTTCAACCTTTTCGGAGGCGAAAATACTGAGGTATTTTTAATTTTGCGCCTCCTCCGAAAAGGTTGAAATGCATTTAACATGCTACCTAACGAGTAAATAGGTTTCATTCATATCTGTTACGTAATTGTATGATTGAATGAAATAGAAATTACTTCATTAGGAAATAGAAATTATTTTATACTTTTTAGTGCATTTCGAAGTCGGCGTATTTTTTTTCTTAAAATTATTTTAT